GAGTTTAAATTCAAGTATAATCCGAACAAGATTTGCTTCAAAATTAAAAAAAAAAAACAATAGAGGAAGGAGAAGATGCAGAAGGAGACAAAAGAAATTGCAAGTAGAAAATCCAAATCAAATAAATGCACGACCACATAAAACACGAGACGCAATGAAGCGGGCCTTTTGGATGCAAGGGAGAGTGATGATTGTCGCGCGCGCGCAGACAGAGACAGAGAATGCTTAATTTGCGCACGCGCACACACAGAGACAGAGACAGATAGAATGCTTAATTTGTTATACCATAAGTTTAGGACAATGATCGCGCCTGAGATCGTTGTGATGAAATTTGATCTCTTTCACTTTCTCCATGATACCAGATACTGATCTATTTGTTTGATATTGATCTCTTTCAGTTTTGTCAGCATCACTTTATATCAAAATATTTAATTTCTTCAGATTTGATTTAATTTTTTTGGGCCCTTGTCTTAATCATCTTTCTTGTTTTAGATAACAAATTTTGTTTATATATTAAAAAAAAATTAAAGTAGCATATTTTATGCATTTTGACAGTAATTTGTGGAGGAATCCGAAATAATTGATACATACATACATACATACATATATATATATATATAGCATTCAATTGTATCAAAGGAAAATAGCATGTTGGTTTGGAATTAGATGATAATTGTTTGAAATTACTCTTTTATCTTACATCTTCTCATTATTAAAGTTTTATAGTTCCACTTATCCATTTTATAATTTCGCAGGTTGTTTTAGATGTTGTCTCAAGATGAGAAATACAAAGCAAAAGTATAATTTATGTGAATACTGTAATTTATTCAAACCCTAATAAATAAATAAGGTAACATTCATAATAAAATAATAAAAAAAGAAATAATAAGAATGAAAATAGAAAAATATTTTATAACAAGAAAATAAACAAATAAAAAGGTAAAAGATCTTTGATTTGAAGATAATAAAAAATGACACAAATGTAATCAAACTAGATCACGATCTAATATAATAATGAGTTATAAAGATTTGAATATCTCAAAATAATATAATAATTAAAATATAATATAATCTAATATTATGATTCAAAGATTTCAAGATAATATAATCTAATATCTAATATTAAGATTTAAAGATTTCAAATGATCAGGATAAAATAATGGTAAGATAACAATTAATCTCCAAATAATAATGACAAAACAATATATAAAAAATATTGATAGAGATCACGATAAGATTGAGATTCTAAAAAAACTCTAAGTATAGAAGTGTATATAAAGGAAAGCAAAGGCAAAGTAAGAGGACAGTTAAAGATTTGAAGAAATTGTGAGAGAGAGGACAAAAGAGTTTCAAGTGGACTAAGATTTATAGAGGTAAGTTCATCTTTTCTTAAACTTTAGGCATGTATGCTTTTACATTAATCAAGTATATCATAAGGTTGAGTCTTAAAGTTTAAGTCTAGAACCTTTTGAGCTCTATATGTGTTCTCTCCTCTAATTGAATTGTAAATTTTTGTCTTCATGCGATTGAATATGGTGTGAGTGAGATGATTTCTAATAGCCATTGTTTTATTTTTTTTCATCTTAAATCTTCACATATGAGCCTTACTTTTTAAAGTCATCTTCTTTTATGCTATAATAACATCATATAAGTGTGAGACTTCAATATAATTCTTTGATGAATTTCTACATTTTAAATAATTATGCCAATGTCATGATTAAATTTGGAGACATATGATGTGGGAAGGTATTCATGAGAAATTTCAAAATTTAAATATCAAATCTCTGTTTATTGATTTCTCATTACATTTGTTAGGATTTTTCCTAATCTGTTTGTCATGAGAGACTTTTAGAGTCCTCACAAATTATTGAAGTTAATTAATTTATCATGAGTGACGATAAATTATCGTAGTGCATCATTAAAAGTGTTTCATATCCTTTTGACTATATAAGATTTTCAGAGTCTACGCAAGCTTATAAGTTAATTAATTTATCTTATATAGTGATAAATTATTACATGTGCATAATTCTGAAATCATCAGTTACATGAGACTTTTAAAGTCCTCGCAGATTTATAAATCAAATAACTTATCCTACACAGCAATAAATTATCATGAGTACATTTTAAAATATTTTTATCCTTAAATAAAAATAAAAGGTTTTCCTAATATAAATAAAATAAAATAAATCATATTTGGAAGATAGAATACATAAAATTTTCATAAATCTTATCAAAATATTTTTTGCAAGATTATCTCTCATAATTTTGTCACAAACAAAGAAATAAAATATTTTCTTAAATAAAAACTACAAACCAACATTAAAACTATTTTATAAAAAATTAATAAATAATATTTTTTTAAACAAATCTCAACCAAGAGACACGTATTTTTATCCTGAACTACTTGAATTTTAATCCCTCAAAAAGGTACAGAGGTTCTAAGATTTATTCTAGGTCAAGTCCAACTTATAAGTAAATAAATTTTTTCCTTTTTAATTTTCTTACTTTTTTATCTTATTTTTTATTAAGGATAATTAATATATTTTTTAAGGCCATTTAAATTTATATAGTTAACTTAAGGTAACTATTCACATAAATAGGTGTTGTAGGGTGCCTAATACCTTCCCCGTACACAATTGACTCTCTTACATTTTTCTTTATAAGTAGACCACACATCAAAAAGATTTTCAAAATTACCTTTCAAAATTTTGGTGGCAACTTCAAATATTTATTTTTCATTCAATTTTTCTCCACAGAAAATTCCAAATCAAACACGACAACATCCTTTTCTTCTCATCTTGTACGTATTTACTCTCCAATTTTTTGTTTAGTCTTTTTGTTCTTTTTATAATCCTTATGTTTCAAATTGTTCAAATCTTTTGCACACATTTTGGAGTTTAGGTGGAAACCTTAACTTCATTGAGTACACAAGTTTATTATGATAAAAGTTTGCTTTAGATAGAAATCTTAAGATTTCATGTGTTATCTATATGATTTCACACAATTTTAGGTAGTCATATATGGTTTCTTTTTGGATTTCTTATAAATCAATTATGTTAGAATAATGACATAGGGTAATGTTGATTATAGGATTTTGATTCAAAGTGAAAAAACAAATTTTATATATTGACATGTAGAAGAAAATTTGGTTTCAAGTTTGAAGTGTGATAACATTGGATGACAAGTTATTTTGTGAAATTTATTTGATAATATGATGATGCTTTCAAAATTTATGAGTTTTGTAAAATTTATTAGAGTTGAATAATTATGAAAATTATAAAATATTTGGTGAAAAAGAATTTTATTTTTTTACAATAAAAATATATATGGGAGTGCTTTTGTTAGGAAGCACTCCCAAACAACACTCTGCAAGAGTGCTTAATAAAAAAGAGTTCCTATTGAATTTTTATTTTGAAATTTTTAGATTCTTATAAGAGCACTTATATAAAATGTTCCTATAAGCCAATCTATGAGAGCGCTTTATAAAAAAGCTCTCCTATTGAGGGCTTTAAACTCTCCTATAGGTTTTTATTTTGAAATTTTTTGATGTCTATGAAAGCACTTATATAAAAAGTGGTCCTGTAAGCCAACATTTTATAAAAAAAAAAAGTGCTGTTGCAGAGGGCTTTAAATTCTCCCATAGGGTTTTTATTTTAAAATTTTTAAATGCTTATGGGAGCACTTATATAAAAAAGTGCTCATGTAGGCCAACCCATATAGAAGTATTAGCTAACATGAATGCTTCTAAAGTGCGTAGAGTATTTTATAATAGTGCATTCACTATTCATTCTTATTCAACTTTATTGGTCATGTTCCCTTGTTTCACCTCCTCTAACTCAATAATATGTGATGGATCCGCTTGGTATTTTTTGAGTTGAGATACATGGAATACATCATGAATCTCAGACAACTGCATAGGCAAGGCAATATGATAGACAACCAGCGACCAATGAATCTTCTCTAAAATTTATATGGGTCATATAAATTTACTTATTAGATTTTCTTAGATTAATCATCTTAGATTTTCTATCGAGCTAAACAAGATTAAAAAAAAAAAAAGAAATATACATTGCATCCTCTAGTTTAAGAAGAAATTAAAGCAAGGCAATATCAATTCATATGGATCCAGTGATTACAAATTAATAATTAAAACTGAGAGAGTAGTGAACAGATTAAATTTTAACCTGATCATCAGATTAGAGTCCAAAATGATCACATGATGAACTACGAAAACAGTACTCGGTTTACATTCATACTTATATGTAGGTGAACATGCAAGTTACAATGTGGGAAAATATAATTAAGCTGCAAATTCATGATTTACGGGCCCTAATGTATCTTTTCTAATATTATTTGTAATGCTTCAACTCTTTAATTTCATTTTATTTTAGATTATTGACTTTTATATAAAACGAGAGAAAATTTAATATCTTGATGAAGTCTCAAAACAGTAAAGTTTAATATTTTTTAAATATTTTTTAATATCACACTTGCACCTTTTTATTTTTAAAAAATTGTGAAAAAAATTCACCGTTTAAATTTCAAGGTATCGATTTTTTTTTATTTTATATAAAAGCTAATAGTAAAAAAAAAATGAAATTGAGAAGTTGGGCCACAATGACCATTAGAAAAAGGCAATGTTAGATGACTCTCGCCCCAAATTGACGGAACTTCTGCTGATGAATCAAATTGCGGTAATAGAAAACCAATGGCTTATTTGGTACTATCCTGAAAATAATTTTCTATTCTTCAAATCAAAAAATAAAAAAAAATATATTTCATAATGTATTTTTAAAAAGTATTTTAGAGAATAAAAAAACTAAATATTATTCTATAAAAGAGAAAAACAAAAATATCTTTTAAATGTTTTGAAAATATTGTTCTGAAAAATAAAAGAAAATATAAAAAATACTTTTTATTATTATTTTTTTTAAAACATATCCTACAAAATATCAACTTCAGATAATAAAATAAAAATAATTTCAAACAAGCTCCAAGCTTTCTTCTTCTTCAGCGAAAGTTAACATTGGAGGAATAAGTGAGACCAACACACCAACTAGAAGGAGCAACATTCCAAGCAATAACAGTCTGTCTTGTGGTATACAATGTTAACTTAAATGACAAAGCTTGTCCTCCTAACGTAGCAAATGCCTGATACGAGGCTCCCCAATTATGGCTCATACTGATCCATCCCGTTCCACTTCCTTTCACCCACATGCTTCCTATGTCTCCTCCTCCTCCCACATTCATCGCGTACGCCAGTAGCCAGTATCCATTCCCTTGGAAAACGAATCTCAGCCCTCCGTTCCTCTGGCAGGGCACTCGTCGGTATGCCACCGGCACGATCCCTGCCTTCCAGTCTGCTATTTTCATGAATGCTGGCTTTGACATGTCAAAGTGCACGCGCGGCGGGTTGCACCAGCCGCCGTTGTCGGAGGGTTCTGCCCAGTTCGGTGGACATAGGTTGGTGGCCGTCACGGTGGTAAACATCGCGTCTTTGTGACAGGCGCTTGATTGGTAACATTTGATTTGGTAACATGTGCCACAAGCGAAGCCATTGTTGAAGAGTGTGGAGCTCAGTGCTACTGTGTCTGTGCCGTATCCATCCATGAACAAGTTTCCGTACCACACGCTCCTCCTATAATATTTGTTAATTCAAAGACAGAATCAATGCAAAAACAAAATTAAAGAAAAACATTGCAGTTACATCATCCTTTTTATTTTTAAAAAATTATAAAAAAACAAAACTCTATCATTTCAAAACTTTAAAATATTAAAATATCTCTTATTTTATATAAAAGTCAATTATCTAAAAAAAAAAAAATAAATTAAAAAGTTGAGGCATTATAAAAGATATTAATATGAAAATTTAAGTCAACTCATCCGATTAAACTATTAAAATAATGTTTTAACTGATTTGATAAAATAACGGGTTTAATGTTGTTTAACTGCAGTTTTAATCGTTAATTTTCAAATTGTGCTTGGATTGATTCATTGATTGGTTTTAGTTTTTAGTACTTAAAAAATGCACATTAGAGGCCCATAGTACTTATAAACTGAGCTGATTATTAAATCCATCAAAATAACAGTAGAAATGGTCAAAAACCAGTTATATAAACAAAATGTTATTGAAACGAATAGAGGTCCAATAATGTACTGGTTAATCCGACGAACATACCCATTGTGGCGGAAGCAGTCTCATCGCCGTAAAAGGTGGCGTGGGCAAGAGCCCAAGGTTTGGGTCTGAACACTCCGGCGCCGGCTTCTGCCAGGATTCTGGTTACTGTGACGATGAGGATCCATGTAAGTAAGAAGGAGTTACAAAAGCGAACGATGGAAGCCATGTTTGAGCTTTTTGGATGATGCGATATTTGATCCTAACTTGTACATCTATTCTTATATAAACGGCGTAAAATGCCTTCGTGTTGCCCACGAAGGTAAGTCAATATTATTATTAGGTTTTTTTTAATACATGTTATTATTAGTTTTTCAGTATGGAAAATAGGTATTTTATGTATTTATTGGGCGAGATTGTACAGAGTGATGATTATGGGAGGCGAATAATTTCAAAGATTTAACTGTTGACTTTAAAAGAAAAAAACAATTGGTAGGGTACAACAAGAACAAACAAATGTCTAGAGATCACGGTTGGACTTTTTTTCTTTTTTTTTTTTTTTTCCTTCAGTGTTAGAACGTGCAGGCAACTGGGCAAGTTTCAATGGATCAATGGCCATGCATTGCATTCGTAATGCTTTGGGAATAAAATTATGATCAATCCAAGAAATATTAAAAATAAATGTTAAGGGGCAGTTTTGTCCCTCATCTCGTAGCTTAAACTTACATTTGATACAATTTTTTCTTTCATCATTTGAAAATGACATACTAAATTTTTTATCATTAAAAAAATTAACTTTAACAATTAGTTGATTAAAAAAAAAATATAAAAATTACATAAAAGGATTCATACAATTGCAAATAATTGTACCATGTAAGAAAATTATCATCAATCATGTTCCTGAAATAATAGTTGGTTAGAATTATATTTTGACCTTTTACATGGGTAAAATAAAATATTTGTATTCTTTTATTTGCATATAATTTGGGGAATGTAATTGACATTAATTCTCTCATTGGGTATCTATAAGTAATTTTATGGGTCATATAAAGATCAAATATAACTTTGGCAAAGTGCTCAATTTATCATTTGTCATATTCTCTTAAATGAATAGTTAAAGAGCAAAAATGACTTTTAACCTTAAAAATAGTTAAAGAATACCGACCAAGTGATGTATAATAAATAAGAAGGCTGATTAAGATCTATTTTAATTAATTTGCGCGTGCCTGTATATTGACTCTTTTCTTTTATTATTTATAGGTATTTACTTATTGGATCAAAGAAGTCCTATTCAAGATATAATCGAATGCTAATTTCAGACACTTTCTCTTAACAGGTATTTCAGCTTTAGTTCACCATGTTATAAAATATTAACTCATTTTGCTAAACCTAATTCCAGTTGGCACCTGTATATTTATATTGATTCTTAATTTAATAGTATAGCTTCCATTTTTTTTCCCATCAGTATTCCTTCTTCCGAGATCCTTGCTAATTTGAACCTACTTCGCTTCAAAGATTAAAAAATTGTACTTAACATGTAAAAATATGATTTACTTTATCAAAATTTCCCTCAATCTATTGTACACAAATTAAGAATTGCAACTAACAGTACTTGCAACTAACAGTACTTTTTTTTTTTTTTACCCGCACAGCTAATAGTACTCTAATGCTACTAAATATAAAATATAAAAAGTATCTGTACATAGTGTTTTTGGAAGTAAAAATAGTCAAATGATATGAAAAATTTTCTTATAAAGATAAATATTTTGAAACACGAGTGTAAAATTAGTGAGACTGACTTTATATTTTTATGCTGAAAAAAGAAAAAGAAAGAAAGAAACAATATAAACATAGTTCTAAGGGTTTCTTAGTTTCCCAACAAATTTTATGAAATTACACTCACCTTTTCTTCAACTTTTGTGAAAATAAAAATTAACAAAAAATTAATGCTCATAATTAATAACAAATTAAGAGGATACAAATTAAAGTAGTAATAAAATTTTACTCCATCTTGTCCTTTTTACAAGATTATGTCAACTAAACCCTAAATACAGCCATGCTCATTTTCCCCACATTTCAGACAAGATCGGGCTTGAAGATGGGTAGAAGGAAGGAAATGACTTCTGGGCCAGGGCTTAAAAACTCTTCAAAAAATGGGTCGGGATCATGTTAATCCATAAACCTTGTTTAATATATATATATATATATATATGAATAGATTTTTAAAATTTTATCAACAAGAAATTTTTATGTAGATCGAATGTACCATGTTATTCATAGTTCGTCAAATAAAAATATATAATTTTGCACCATTTCAATTAAATAAAATTTTAGGTATCATTATCTTTAAAGTCCATGCAAGAATTTCTCTTATTTTTAATGACTTTATTTTTGAAATAAAATATATCATTAATTTTTTTTACTTTTTTTATCATTATTAATAACAAAATCAATTTATATTTACAGTCATCTAATATGATATGTTTTTATTGGACAAGTCATAGATAATGTGATGCACCAGTCAATAGCATAATTTCTCTCATTCTCACTAGCTAACCTTATCTCACGGTCTACTTTTCCTCTCAAGTTCAAACAACCGCATTCTTTTATACTCCATCCTCATTTTCTTTGGAATAGACAATTAGTTTTTTCCTTATATCACGATGCTGTAGTTTTACAAATTTTGCAAACACCATTACCTTTTACTAATCAAGCGGATTCCTTGGTTTGGACTATTAAATCTAATGGTGGTTATATTTAAGTAGGGTTATAACTAGCTAATTGAATCTAATCAAGATCCTCCTTTTAATCCTGATTTTTCATGAAAATTCTTCTGTAAAATAAAATTGCCTCCTAAAATAAAATTACTAATTTGGAAAATCATTCAAAAATCTTTGCCAAAAACAAATTGTCTTTGCTTCATCATATGAATATTACTGAAGTATGTTGTTTTTTTTCAAGGCTCTGATAAGTCATTGGATCATATTTTCCTACTTCGTCCTTTTGTTAGGACAATTTAGTTTGGATCTCCCTTGAATTTAAGAACGTCTATGAATCCAAATCATTTTTGGTTTGTATGGATTAAACAATGAATTTTATCACTCATAAAGGAAAAGGATCAATTGTTATATATTTTTGTGTTTCCTTTTTAAATTATTGACACTATACAGAGATGCAGGAACCAAAAATTCTTTCAAAATTTGAATATCATGCCAATAGAAGCCCTTTTAATGGCACAAAGGAACTGCTTTTATTTCCTCCATTGTAATATGTTTGAAGCTCCATCTCATACATGAACAAGTTATCAACATCCACATACTAATTTCCATCCAAGGAATTTCAATGAAGATACTCTTCGAAGTTCGAAAGCATGGAAGAACTATTGCTCAATTAGAAAATTCAAGAATATCAAGAAGACTCATCTACGCATTATATTCAATAATTATATATTATACTCCAAGGAGTTGAAGATGTGGATAAGGAACAACATTCAATTAATTTTGCAAATAGTTCAATATGGCTTAATGTTCGTCAATAATCAACCTTAAATCTCATCATTGTCATCTTTTTTGTTGATTATTTTTGTATCTAACTCTGCTTATATTCCAATGATTCTAGTTTATAGTATTTTTTCTTATAGGCTACGTATATTACAAAGGGATATTGGGAGTATGCTCAAAATATACCATTGGATATTTGTATCTGTTTTTTTAATTTTAATATATTTTTCTTTATACAAAAAAAAAAAAAACCGCATTCTCATCCACTCATCTCTCACTCAATCTCCTTTCCGCCTCTCTCACTTAATTTCCTTGTCACACTCAACACATTTTAAAGCATATGTTTCTTTTGTTGTATGAAATTTTAATTATCAAATTTGAACTATGTAAAAAAAAAAGACAAAATAAATAAGCGTTTTGGGCTTGACCTTAAGCCCTTATCATTAGAGTTGGGTTTTAGAAATTGGATGGTTTGAGGGAAATAGGGTTTTAAGGCATATTGTCATGAGGCTAATCTTTCAACTCGTGCGACACTTAGACACTCTTCTTAGAAGATGTTAAGTAAGCCTAATTTATATGAGAAGGAGGATGCTCAACTAAATTGAAGAAAGTAAAAGCTTGAGGGTAAAGGATAGTTGAAAGAGCATGGAGAATGTGAGAGTAGTATTATTGCTTTGAGAACTTAAAGATGGTTTACAAATGAGGAGGGGTGAGGTATTTATAGACCTCCCCTTGAATCTAGAAAATTCCCACCTCCTTAATGGACGGTGGAGATTAAATCGATCTTACGATTACAATTAATTCTCTAGAATTTTCTCCTAAATATTTACAACAAATATCTAAATATTTCTATGGAAATATCTAGAGGCAATATTAAAATATTGAGGCTAGAGTTGTGTAAATTTCTCTAGAATATTTTTACACTCTCCAACACTTCTAAGGTTATTCAGGAGCCTTTTGGAGGGTTTTGGAACATTTTGAACCTCCATAACCTTGTGAAAAATCACAGATCTTGACATTTTTCCCCAGTTAATTTCACGACGCCCTTGTCATGCTTTTCTTCTTGTAGAGTTGGATTTAGTTAGTGAACTGCCATAAGAGGTCTTCACATTCCCAACTAGCTTCAGAGTCTGGTTGACCCTTTTACTTGATTAAGTACTCGGTGTAGTTGGGAACTCTCTCTTTTTGATCATCCTGTTGGTAAAAATTTCTTTTATCTCCTTGTCGTACTCAGTGATGACTACTGTTGGTGCTCTGTTAGAGATACCTCGAGGTGGATCTTCTTCATCTCAATAATATTTCTTTAAGAGACTAACATAGATGATAGGATGAACCTTAAGCTTGGGAGGGAGTTGTCAACCTTTCCCACATGTTTGATGATGGGAAAAGAGCCTTTGTGGACTTTGCATAGTGACTTGAATTGATTTGGTAGTAACTTAACCATGACCAAGTCACCAACTTGAAACTCAACGGGGCACCGCTTTTTATTTGCGCACTTCTTCATTTTACAAGAGGCTTTATCCAGGCATGCACGAGTAATGTCAACTTATTCTTGCCATTCCTTAGTAAACTTATAGGCATCTAGAGTGTCTCCCTTATATGGTGTGGCACGTGCATTGGGGTTAGAGGTTGTTGCCCGGTAACTATCTCAAAAGGGCTCTTACCTATCGACTTGCTTCGCTGCAAGTTGTAAGAGAATTGAGCCACATCAAGCAACTTGGCCTAATCT